CTCTCGTAAACATCCACATCCACCGCCCGCCGGGTCCCGAGGACGTCGGTTCCACGGGCGGTGGATGTGGACGTGCCCCCGCCTCGCACATGCAGCGTCGGAGAACATCCGGGATCGAGGACCTCAGGGAGGGGGCCCTTCGATTGGAGGGGCCCTGCGTGGCCCTGAAGCCGCCGCCGCGGGCCCAAGGGTGAAGTCGGGCCCGTCCCTCTACAGGGGGAGCATTCCCAAATCGTAGAAAAATAGTCTGGGAGCGACTAGTGTCGTTCGACTATGTTTAAGTATTTTTTGACTATTTTTTGCACTTTTCGCCCAAATCCGCCCGTAGGGGGACATGCCCGACCTAGCCCAGAGGCCAATGAGAGGTGCACGTTTCTTCAAACCCCGTGTTTATTGCCCCCCCGTTCGCGAACACCCGACTCCTCCTCCCTCGCAGCAGCCGCAACAATATCTGGCCTCCTAGATGGGCTGTAGTAGACGGGCTCGGAGGACCGTGCCGCATCGCCGACGCATCGCCAATGCGACTCGATGTGGAGCCCGACTTGCTTCACGTCAACGTCGCCGATGCATCGCCGACGTCGATGATGCGTCGCCGGTGCATCTCCGATGCACGGCCGATGCATCGCCGATGCATCGGCGAAGCAGCGCGATCCTCCGACCCCAGCTACTCCGACCCCATCTAGGAGGCCTCCAAGTAATGAAAGGCCCGAATTGTCTGGCGTTCCCCTGAAAAAGGTGTTTCTCTTCGAGCTCTGCTGCTCTCGTGTCTCCTGTTGCTCCCATACTCCTGCGGCTCCCCTGTTCCCGTGCTCCTGCTGCTTCCGGTCCTTTCTTTTCCCCCATGAACTGTCAATGTTTGTGCCCCCTCATAGAACAGTCAGCCAGCGTGGACCCCACACAGCAATTTCCTACAATCTACGCGTGCAATTGGTGCACTCAATGTGGTGCAATCCAGATTGTGCAATCTATGTGGCGCAGATCAATGAAAAATAATGCAAGGCAACGCAAAGCAGCGCAAAGCAATGAAAAGCAATGCAACGCAATGCAACGAAATGCAATGCGATCGCGAAACAATGCGGAGCAATGCAAAGCACTGCAACGCAACGCAATGCGATGCGATGCAATGCAATGCAATGCAATGCAAGGCAGTGCAAAGCAATGCAACGCAATGAAAAGCAGTTCAAAACAATGCATCCTATTGCCAAGCAGTGCAAAGCAATGCGAAACAATGCAAAGCAACGCAACGCAATGCAAATCAGTGCACAGCAGTGTAACGCAAGGCGATGCAGGGCAATGACAAGCCATGCGGAGCAGGGAGATGAGCAGTGCCAGGCTGTGCCGTGCAGCGCAAAAAGCAATCCACTCAAGATAACATGCGATACAGTCGAGGCGCTGGAGAAGGAACCCTTTTCGTTGGGGAGGGGCTCCGCGTTCCTTAGTTTTGTTGCAGTTCGCCTTTGGTTTTGCTTAGGGTTTCGATGGGAAATCGAAGTTTAACTTCTGGAAAAAAAGGGGCCTCGTTCCTTAGTTAGGGTTCCTTAGGTCAACGCCCCGACGGTACACTCTGGCGCAAAAAACTCAGCGCAAGGCAAGGCGACATGCGAGCCGCGCACCCTCAGACGCGTGACCGAGCGGCGACGGGCGGCGACGGGCGGCGGCGGGCGGCTACGAGCTTGGCCGCACCGACGGCCAGGCGCAGTTCCTGCAGAGAGGAGAGAAGTGGGAACCTCTGCAGCCGGGGCGCTGCAGAAGGAACGCTTTTCGTTGGGGAGGGGCTCGTTGTTCCTTAGTTGTTTTGCAGTTCGCCTTTGGCTTTGCTTAGGGTTTCGATGGGAAATCGAAGTTTAACTTATGGAACGAGTTAAACTCAGGGTTCGCCTTTTGTTTAGGGCCACGAGCCTGCCGCACCGACGGCCAGGCGCAGTTCCTTCAGAGGAGAAGTGAGGACCTCCACAGCCAGGGCGCTGAAGAAGGAACGCTTCTCGTTGGGGAGGGGCTCCGCGTTCCTGAGGTGTTTCGCAGCTTGCCTCAGGTGTTCCTTAGGTTTTCGGTCGGGAATCGGAGCTTAGCTTATTCAGAAAAGGGGCCTCGTTCCTTATTTTGGGTTCCTTGGGTCAAGGCCCCGACTGTAGGTGCAGGCACGGTTTGGGAATCCAAACAGTCAGGAGGGAAAGGAACACACACAGAGACGGAATTCATCGCCGATTCCCGAGGAAAGATGGGAACATATGGGAAGTGGGGGGGGGAGACAAAAACCCAGGAACTATGGGAAAATATAGGAGAATCTGGTTATTTGTGTCTGTTTATTCGTGTGTCCCAGCTCCCCTTCGAAAAGCTTTGACCTCTTCGAAGTTCTTCCAGCAGGCCGTGTAAGCACGTGCCCCGTCCCAGCCGCCCCTCCCCCCCTTCCATCAGGGGCCCCCAACCGGTTTGGTGATCACACCACCTGGCGAGTCCTCTTCTGAGACTCGGGGCGTTCTCCGAGGATGTCCGTCGGGCAGCTGAGGCCTCCAGGGTCCCAACACCGTGCGGCGACGGACCGTGCGGTGAGGTCCCTCGGGCTCTCGGGGCCGCCGCCACACGGGCTGGGGGCGCCGAGCCTTTCGCCCCGCGCCGGCGCTCTGAGGCACGCCCGGGCGCTGGCAGAAATGCCCCGAATCGGCTGCGATCACCTCGGGGAGGCACTGGTCCGCGCCGACGTCGAGGATGGATCCCCGCGCGCGCGTGCCGGCAGCAGGAGGAGGCCGTCTCGGGGCGCGCTGAGCGCGGCGCCGCCTCGCCGGCGGTGAGGCGGGCCGCGCGGCGCCGCCCATCGGCCCTTGCCCAGGAGGCGCAGGCCGTCTGGCGCGGTGCGCCGTGGGCGCCTGGGGTGCGAAGGGGCCGTCGGTGTCTGGCACGCGAGGGGCCGCGGTCAGAGGAGGAGGAGGTGCCGATGCCGCTGCACTCGCCTCGCTGTCGCCTTGTTCGGGCTCCTGGGAGACCCTCGTCGCCACGGTTGGGTTCGCTGCGGAGTGCTGGTCGGATTGCAACGGAGGAGCGGTCCGGGGAGTGGCGGCATCATCAGGGTGAGGGGGTCGAACGGTCATTCATTGTCCTTGGGTGCGTGGCTGAAGTGGGGATCCGTGGTGAGGATTCTGCTTGTTGCGTTGTTGTTGATGTTGTTGTTGTTGGTGTTGTTGCTGCTGCTGTTGTTGTTGCTGTTGTTGTTGTTGTTGTTGTTGCTGCTGCTGTTGTTGTTGTTGAACATTATTCCTTCTAAAGAATTATTATTGTTGGGACCCCTGGTGCGCGACCTCTGCGCCGCGCCTAGGCCGCAGCTACATTTTCATCATTTTTTCGCGAAAGCTTCAGAAAAGTGGATGAGCTCCGGATCCGGTTTTTTGTTGACGCTCGTTTTCCCTTGCAAAAAACAATAGAAAATGAAAATTCTTGTTTTTACTTGATCAAATTGCAAGAATCCCTTGCAAAAAATAAGGTAAAGTGGACATTCGTGCGCGCAAGACGAAATCCTTCCAAAACCTTAGGTTTCGTAGCGATTTTAACATAAAAACATCAAAAACCCAATGGTTTTCTCAGAAAAAATTGTCAAAATGTCCTTCCGCGCGCTCTTGCGGATTCCTAGGAAACCCACCAGATTTTAAACATTTCTGTTAAAAGGGCCTTTGCGAGGAACCTTTTCAGGTGCTTCGACCTTCTGCAACAACGGTTGCGAGCCTACGAGGGCCACCATCCCTTGCAAAAAATGACACGAAGTGCACATGCGCGCGGCCGCCGCGCGCGCGTGCCGAAATCCTGCCAAACATAATGTGATTTCAATAATTTCAAGATGCGATGTTCCGAAAACATATGCAAACGCAAGACTTTCTCATCCGAAAAATATCAAAATCCACCCGCGGGCTCTTCATGAATCTTTAAAACCCAAGATGGCCCCAAGAGGCGCTCAAGATGGCCCCAAGAGGCGCCCATGAGGCCGCAAGAGGCGCCCAAGATGGTCCCAACTCCTCTCTCTCCTTCTCCTGTCTCTCGCTCTTTCTCTGCTTCATATCTATCATACGTAACACATCTACTTGTGTAATCGCCTTCCCAGGAATTTGCCTCAAAAATGTGACCAACTATCTTGGCACTGCGTACCATCTCACGTGTACCGTGTACCACATCTTCTCAGGTTGCCTCACACATGTGACGAATCTCTTTCTATCTCTCTCTCCACTGGCTCTCTGTCTTGCTCTCTCTCTCTCTCTCTGTCTCTCTGTACTATGTATGTCATACGCAACAAATGCACCATGCGGGGCACATGCGGGGCCCAAACAAGTGATCAACCTCTGCGGGTGTGTACTCCACGCCAGTGTAGTATCCACGATCGTCCGCGCGCCACGAAGTGAAGTGTCCTGACGTCATAGGGCGGGAAGCTGGGTGTGGGTGGTTCCCGAGAGTCGTGTGGATGTTTGGTAGAGCTTGCATTGCCCCCCCACGAAGTGGGGGTATTGGCTGGCGTCGCATGAAAACCCTGGCACTGGGGAGAACACTGAGCGTTCGGGTAAAATGATTGTTGTTGTTGTCGTTGTTGTTGTTGTTGTTGTTGTAGTTGTTGTTGTTGTTGTTGTTGTTGGTATGGTTATTGTTGTTGTTGTTGTTGCTGCTGCTGCTGTTGTTGTTGCTGTTGAATGATAAGTACTAAACAATTATTATTGTTGGACCCCCCAAGCGCTTTGACGCTCTCGTCTCGGCGCCAGCTACATTTTCATTGAAAGTGAGGCTCACGCTCGAGCGGTTCAAAAAGGGCACCAAAACCAGCCCCCCAACAACAACAACGCTCCCGCTCGAGACTTCCTCCTTTTTTACTCAGGGCCGGTGCTCTTTCTCGCCGCCGAAAGCCGCCGTCCCAACAAAACCAGCGCTCCCGCTCGAGACTTCCTCCCGTTTTACCTTGGACTGGCGTGCTAGTCTTTCTCTCATCGGCGTCGCCCCCCGCAACAACACTCCCGCTAAATAGGTTCTCCCTTTTTTACTCAAGGCGGTGCTCCTCCTCGCCGCCAAAACTCACCGTCCCTACAAAACCAGCGCTCCCGCCTGAGAAATCCTCCCGTTTTACGCTGGGCACTCTCGTTTGAATTGGCGCCGCTCCCAGCAAGAACAACGCTCCCGCTCGAGGCTTCCTCCCTTCTTCCTCAGGACGGTGCTGTTCCTCGCCGCCGACATCCCCCGTCCCGACAAAACCACGGCTCCCGCTCGATGCTTCCTCCCTTCTTACTCAAGGCGGTGTTCCTCCTCGCCGCCTAAATCCGACGTCCCAACAATACCAGCGTTCCCGCTCGAGACTTCGTTTTGTTTCATGCTGGACTAGCGCCCTACTCTCTTCAGCATTGGCGCCGCTCCCAGCAACAACAGCAGCCCTGCTCGAGACTTCTTTCCTGTCTATTCAGGGTCAGGTCCTTGCCTTACCGCCAGCGGCCCCCATCCCCACCAAAGCAATCCTGTCGTTCGATACTTCCTTGTGTGTTTACCCTTCGCTGGGGTTCCACTGGCGGTCTTGCATCAGCGCAGCAAGGCGCGGGCATGTGTTTTCGAGGCGGGATATGTTGAAATTCTTCGGAGGAGGTGTTTGCAGGACCTCATTGGGCGGGATATCTGGGAATGGGAATATCGGACCCCGCTATAGAACAAGAGTTCCCCATGATGTGGCTGGTTATCATGATGGTCGCATGCTTCGTGTGGCAACATCGCGCATTAGGGTAAACTGATTGTTGTTGTTGTGGTTGTTGTTGTTGCTGTTGTTGTTGTTGTTGTTGTTGTTGTTGTTGGTTGTCGTCGTCCCACCCGCGAGCCACCCGCGACCCACCCCGCGACCCACCCTGCGACCCACCCGCGACCCACCGCGACCCACCCGCGACCCACCCGCGACCCACCCGCGACCCACCCGCGACCCACACGCGACCCACCCCGCGACCCACCCGCGACCCACCCCGCGACCCACTTGCGACCCATCTGCGACCCACCCGCGACCCACCCGCGACCCTCTTGCGACCCACCCGCGATCCACCCCGCGACCCACTCCGCGACCCACCCGTGACCCACCCGCGACCCAACAGTGAGCCACCCGCGACCCATCCGCGACCCACCCGCGACCCATTTGCGACCCACCCGCGACCCACCCACGACATACCCACATTGGTTTAACGCAAAGATCGGCGCCTGCGGCGGGCTTATCGTATAATGTGTGAAACTTTGGCGCCTGCGGCGGGTTTCTCCAGAGTCTCGCATGCTGCCGACGTCCCCACCGTCCCCTCAGTCTTATCCGCATATGCGGTGTGCTACGTTACGCTTTGCCCTTCCTCAGCAAGAGGCGGAGTCGATATCGTGGATTGGGCTGACCGCGCTGTTGCCGCCAGAGGTTGGCACATGCCAGGGGACTCGTGTGCCTAATGCGTATCCATCGAGAGTGCGCATGGGGCCCTCTTCATCGAATGAGGCTGTGGTGCTAGATGCTTGGGCTAATTAGGCACCGTACAGGTTTATCTGGCGCGACGATGCAACTGCGGCTTCTCTGGGGGCGTCGGGGTATTGCGGTATTGTGTCATGCAAGACTCATGACCACTATTGTCGCCCGTCACGTTTTCGGAGAGGCAATGTAATGAACGTGTCGTTGCGTGCACTACCGACGTTATCACCAGTCGCTTCGGGGGCTCCTTTTGTGTCGTTTGGTGCCGACAGGTTGTGGGAAGGCCGCGGCAGGGATTTCACTCAGGGTGCAGCAGAGAGAAGAAGTAGGACAAATGTATATACATAAACTTTCGGAGCTTCGCGCGGATTTCTTGGATCGGCGCTGGACCCTCTCCCTGGCGCGCGGAGCGTCCCAGTGGTGGCGCCTGCGGTGCCGCCAGGAGAGTCCAGCGCGGGTCCAAGTAATCTGCGCGGAGCTCCGATAGCTTGCGTGTCTGATGCTTTTTCTGGCAGCGAAATCCGGACCTCACCCTCGCCGATCAACGATTCAGGTGACTCGATGGGCGGCCGGGGTAGGGTTCGGAATTCGTCGGACACGTGGCTAGTATTCGAATCCTACCCTCGCCGATGATTGATGGGGGTAGGGTTCTGGTGTCGCCACCTGAGCGACGAAGGAAAGCAGGCTTGTCTTCATCGACGCTCGCGCGTATGCTGCCCGCGTATGGTCGCGCGTAAAAGGGCCCCGTTTCCGATGCGGCGTGCCGCGCCGGCGGCACGCGTAAGTCACCGCGTAAAGTTCGACTAGACGTAAGAGTGACCTTTCGCCGGAGTGACCCTTGGTGCGGGCCAAATGGGCCCCCCCATCGCCGAACGCGAGGCGGCAGTGGCGTCTCGCGGCTCTTGTGTGTTGGCCCCCCGGCGGCCCCCCAGAAGCCGCGCACCAAAGGCCACCCTTACCCAGGGCCACTCCTGCGTGCAGCCGAAAAGTCCCTTACAGTCGGGGCCTTGGAAGAAGGAACCCTTTTCGTTGGGGAGGGGCGCCGTGTTAATTGTTTCGCAGCTTGCCTTGGATTTTCCTTAGGTTTTCGATGCGAAATCGAAGATCAACTTATGGAAAACAGGGGCCTCGTTCCTTATTTAGGGTTCCTCAGGTCAACGCCCCGACTGTACCCGGGGCCACTCCTGCGTGCAGCCGGAAAGGTCCCTGTGCCATCTCGCGTGGGGCCCTTCCTGCTCTCCGCCCTCCTGTCGTCGTCGGGGGGGGGGGGGTGCGTGCCCCTGCTGCTATGCTCCCCCTGGGAGCTGCCGAGCGGGCGGAGGAGCGCCCGCGCTGCTCCCCTCTCCGGAT